CCCCCCCCCCCCCCCCCCCCAACTTCATCTGCAAATATCAATTTTATACCCAAATGTAGCAAGGGTGGTTTTAATCCATAAGTTCCCCACTCACTCTTATAATTCAGTCCTCTCATAAAACCAGAAACAAGGGAAGTTTTTTTAGTGCACTAGAAAAGCCAGTGATGAAGAGAAATGCTTGGGCATCTTTGACACAGGGCTAAATTTCCAGCCACTTTGAGAGTCCAGTTGTGATCCTCCTCCCAACGAACATGGGGCAAGGAACACAGACTCACAAAATGGCTTAAAATCGAGCCTGCTGTCACTTGAAATCAGATCCAGTTGCCAAGTTAGCCTGTGATCATTACATATACTCAAAAACGCCACTACGGTTACTAACCTTTCTAACATCATCAAAGAAATGATAAGGAATATCCAAATGAAGATCCATAACAAACAAGATTGAATTCGGATCTTTGACCATCCCAGCAGCTAGTTGCAGCCCCGAGGCCTTCTGAAATTTCCCTGGTAGTCTTACATGCTGATAATGTGGAATTCCACTCCTCTTCAGAGCTGCTTTTAAATCAACATCTATACCGTCATATTCAGTAATAACCACATTAAAATTAAAATCCTTAGTCCTCTTGTGTATCTTTGACATATGGTAAAGGAAATGGAGAAGCCATCTTCCCTGATTGTTTCCTGTGGTAAGAATGAGGTTGATTACAGCACTCTTGTTCCATGTGATGCCCACAGGGCTACAAATATCACCTGTTCCCCAAGGCCTGTATACATATTCAGAGAATCTCACAGATTTTCCACTTGAAATTTCAATAAGTTCCAACTCCACCAAATATCTGTCTCCTGTTCCTTGATCATGGTTTTCCTCCACATTTAAGGTGTGTCGAAAAGAGTACTTCCTACGATGTCAAAAAAGAAAATTCAATCCTTTAATGTCCCCCAAAAAATAATGTCGTTGTTTGGTAGATGAGACTGTCCCTATCAGTTGCGTGGACATTATTCAAATACATTTTTACCCTTGTGAACTACACATACAATATTTGGAGGCAGAAATAGTTCAAATCTATCCCCTATTTATTTGCAGCTTTCCTTTGAAATTTCTCATAAAACCTACTTGCACATTACAAAGTAAAGGTTAAATCTGCATTCAAGCCCATAAGCCCACGGTCCAGGCCAGTGCTTATCAAGTATGAAGAAGCCATGAGTATTTCTTCTCCCTCTGGATAGGTTACTAGTTCATTGTATAGTTCTTTCCCTCCCTTAAGCAGGGCATTTTGGTCCAAAAGAAGATAATCCCAAGCCAGGGCCCAAACTTGGACTGCTTGATCTAGTCCATTGTACTAATGAATAGGCCTCTGGGCTTCCCCCCATAATGCCATGACATATAACAACTACAAAAAGTTATAACTGAATGCTTAAGGTGATTCCTTAGTATTGCATTGCGCATCCCTACTGCGCACGAATTTTGCACGATGACCTCCTCTTTTATTATGCTTTTAATATCTCCTTGTCCTGTAACAACAGCATACCAAGTTTCATCGGAAATCTATGGCAGGTTCTTTTACAAGGGAATCATCTTAAGGCAGGTACCAAAAAAAGATGAACACTTGCGGCAGTGCTATGTACATGTAGAGAGTTCTCTCCTCCCTACATGACAGTTCCTTTTTTCACACCCTTCTCTGAGCCACTAATCCCCTTTGCAACAAGCTGTCTGGAGGATCATCGCATGACAACCCCAAACAATGCTTCTGAACGAGACTATCATGCTAACAAGGGTCATTAACAGTTTTTGATATTGATAAATAATAATAAATTAATCTTTTAAGAGAAGGCCTCCAATCGCATAGAGGTGGTTTTCAGAAGGGTCCTCCAAAAACCTATACTGTACATGAAGTTGCCTATACATGTGAATGTATAAAATATGTTTTTTTTTTTAGTTTGGTACAGGTTTGACTTTACTCTAAAAAATTATTGCTCAATATTTACCCAGGATGCTTGCTTTGTATCTGCATCCAGACTTGAGAAGCTATTGCCTTGGCTGTGTTTTCATCCAGCTTGTCATTACCAAAGCTCACAAAATTGTCACCTGGATACTCTCTTTTCCTGAGATCAGAATAGTCAAAAGGATAAATTGAGGAGTAGTGTGTCTCCCATGTCGCCTGGTATCTCCATAAAGGTTCTTTTACTATGTATGACGGACTATACTCGCATGGTGGGAACAAATCACGAGTGTCCTCTTCACTGATAAAAGGAAGGTGATGTAATTCCACTCGACGTTTTGATTCCTCATTTACAAATGATGGGTCATGGAGTGTAATATGCATTGGAAGGATAACTTCATTATTATGATCAAGTTGCTCACTATGTAACAAATTTGTTATCATTTTGTCAGATGTGCTTGAGTCATGATCATCTTCAAAAGCAATTAAAGCATCTGCAGGAATGTCCCTTAGATCATGTTGTTTCCAATATGATAACCTCCATTTAAGATGGAAATAATTACTTCTCAATAAATAGTGATCACCATGTTTATGTAAAATTTCCAAATAGTACCGATTTCCCCTGGACAATGGAATATTTCGTTCACGTAACCAACTTAACCCTGTCGTAACATTCCCAATCAGTCTGCTGTTTTCTGGCTTTGAATCCGAGCTTATCCACAGTTCGGACGATGCACTAGAAGCTAGATGAAAATTGTAATTCCCAGATTCACTAGGAGAGAGATATCCAAAGATCCTTAATCCAAAATTTTGAAATCGTCTTGTAAAATGCATTCGCAAACTAGATGTTCTAAGCCTGGTCGAAGGGCCATGTGGAAAAAGAGGAAACTCTTTAAGAGAAAGCATTTCATCGCCACACATGTCCTCCCAAATTGCGACGTTTAAAAAGCCCTTTGGAAATGAGCTGTTCACGATTCCTCCATCTCGGCGCTTTTTGGAGTTTTTGAGAATTACCACTACAACAATGGTAATGATGAGTAACGCCAACCACCAAAGAATTCTACGTCTTCGCGTACGATACATTATATAAACAAACAAAGCTTAGCTGTACAGATAGAAAAAAGTGTCCTCGTTGGTCTTGCTCATGGAGTGAAGCATCTTGTCATCGAAAGTGGAACAGTTAATAAGTCAAACGATCGCTTGGCGAATTTTAACGATGGCGGCCATGTTGTTGTTGCCATCGAATGTTCCGAGATGTTCCGAACTGGATTCCTCGGCTGTCGAAACCTCGTGGTTTCGGTTCCCGACGAAAGCCTATTTAAAATTCAAAATGGTCGCCGCATGAAAATCAGGGGTAAATAAAAAAAAAACCTTTGGTTACCGTTTACAGAAAATGCAGCAAACAAACAACTACAAACAACTACAAACAAAAACGAAAATTTGCGTGTAAAGTTACACGCCCTGGGGAGGTACTCCCCAATTTGTGACAAAAGGGAATACCCCCAGCGGGAAGGGGGTTACATGATATTTCCAGTTCTTCTCGTTGGTCAATTTTGTAGGGGAAGAGTGAAAACTGGAAAAAAAACACGGCATTCATGGAAACCAGGATTTTTCTTAAGTGGCATATTAAGGTAAGTTAATATATTGTTAGGATTTGGATTTTTAGTCATTATTAAGTAATTTTTTCCACCTGATGTTTTTACCGTGTATAGATTATGATTAAAGAAAAAGAAAGAAAGCGAACGTTTGACGAGCCAAAAAACGTTCTGTTCAATTCATGTCATAGCACCAGTCCTTACAGACTTAAGCCCGATTTCTCAAGTGTTTTACGGGAAATCTGAAGTCAAATAATTTCCGCAAATCTTGATTTAAAATAATTATAATTAGAGGAAATATCTTACTACTTTTTTTTGGCAGCCGATAGTTTTGCAGAGCATATTGTTATGTTTCATTCAAAAGTTGGTTATTTTTTCCCATGCATTTGCCTGTCCTCCCAAATTGCGACGTTTAAAAAGCCCTCTGGAAATGAGCTGTTCACGATTCCTCCAGAGAAATACCACCACAACAATGGTAAAGATGAAACTTTAATGCGCAAAATAATGGTAGCTAATAGTTTCAGTGGTATTCTTGGTCTTATCTTGTGGAAAGCCACGATGAATTTCAAACCCAATAATGCTGCGAAATCTCTAGACTGTGTAATTGGAGGTTCCTGTCAGACATGCCAGAGTTTGCAGCCAAAGTCGCACCACCTCTTCTGGCAGAGTGTGCACTGATTAGCAATATCCGATACAATATCACGAAGAGATGTCTTGAAGGACTCTCTATAATATTATATTATGTATAACAAGGTACTCCTCAGAATAGAGCGTATGCCGCTGTCACGTGTCCAGCAGCCATGCAAATTTATTGGAGCAAAAGAAAGTATTTGCATAAGAAAAGAGTTGAACTCACACAGGATTGGTCTGGTACACCAACATGGCCGCCGTTGCATTGGTTTGGAACACCAATATGGCTGCCATGACGTCATGCGCATTGCTCTATAAAAAAAGGGAAAGCGAGAATTTTTCATGTATGATTTAAAAAAAGTCACAGGACAAATACTGGAACCTCACTCCGCAATGACCACGGACTGACAATCCCTTACTTGATCGGTTTTACTCTCTTTGATGAAGATAAAAATAAAACCTTCACCAAACTGATCGGGATGAACGCCTCTGCTACGAATAAGTGACCGACAATTAACTGGGGAAGTTTAAGAAAACCCATATAGCCTAGAACAAACACGACTTAATCGTGCAACTGCTAAAGATCATGCATGCCTGTTTTGAAATTATCCCCTGGGATGTTGTGCCTTCAGACATGTTTTACTTTAGAGGTTCTTTTCCTTTAAAAAAATCAATCCTACACTTCAAGTTGTATTGCATAAGACTTTTTCATTTCAACACTGAAAATTTTTACCTATTGCAGTTGATTTATTGAAATATATATTGTGATCACATACGTCGATTATACTTTCATTACACATTGTTTACATTTTTCTATCGACATTGTAATTCATCATTTACACTATCAACCTTACTTTTCTCTGGTATTCTTTGTGGAAAGTTCTTGCTTGTTTCATTGTTGTTCAAGGCGAGAGAAATCTTACAAAGAAAACAAAATTACAAAATACAAGCTCAGTGAAATACAGCTGGATTCGTGCTACTTAACAAATCTAAGGTGTTTTTAGCAAGCAACGTTCTTGTCACTAAAGGTTTCAATTTGTTATGGTGAGATTCAGGCAGATTATTACAGTCAGTTGAGATTTGCTTTCCATTTTCTGCTTTGTTTTACACTATAGCTATTGCATTTTAAACATTTAACAACAAAGCCTATTTATAACACTTGCAACAGCATATATAGTATAACTATCTGTTCGGTATTTGATGATTTTCCATATTCTTACTACCTATTCTCTTTGTAACGCATGAGTGTCGTAAGGAGAAAGAATTTTTGGGTCAATCCGAGGAACTGAAAGATTAATTTGGTAAAATTCAATAAAATGTTCTCCCTAGAGACCTCAAGGAAAAAGCGAATTCAACTAGAAGTGCCCCGTCTTTTCTGTTCTGCTGCATCTCCACTTTACGTTTTGTGATTTCACCCTAGTGTGGCAAACATGTTTTGGGCTTAACATTCTGTTTCTGTAAGCAGTCGCAATAATGCTTTGGCTAACAAATCGATAACTACAGTCTTTAGTTATTTTGAGTGAAGAACCATTACCACTGGGTATTTGATGTAATCTGTGTTAAAAATATGAGTATATGACCAAAATTGACTGTTTGGAATTAAATTCCACTCGAAGCGAAAATATCAATTGGTCGAAATTGGGCAATCTGACCCCGTCGAATGGTTGTATTATTTACCTGAGACAAGAGACAATATACTATCTTTAAATTCAAATGTTACGATGGTCTGAACATGTAACAGTGCTATCACTGTTGTCTACACATGTCGAATCAGGGCCAGTTATTTTAGCTCCTTCTTGGTGTTTTTCTGTAACAGGACCAGTTCGTTGTCAAACACTACTTTGACACCAAAATAATTTATTTTCTTCCCCTGCAATAGCTTTGGGTAAAATGTTCCAGGTATAAATACCAAAATTTTATTATTTTACGACATCATTTACTGCAGTTCTACCAAGTAAGTGTTTTTCTCACAAACAATTAAGCACATTCTGAGAAGCTTAG